CATGGGTACTTTCCGCGGCAGCAACTGGCCTCTCCGAGACGGTGTTGGGGTTGGCTTGCTCTGCATGCAGCGTGGCCCTGCTGGAGCCGGGGAAGGGGCAGGCTCTCCAAGGGGACCCTCCGCCTACCCATGCATGAGATGGAGCTGGGGTCTGAGCCACGCTGGCATCCTCCCCATGCCTCTGATTCTTATGGCCCTACTGTAACTGATTGCTGGCACCTGAGCATCCTGGGGGAGCCAGGCAGGATGCCCACAGGCAGCCCCCATGCTGGTCCCGTCAGTGGCCTGGTGTCCTGCCTGGTCCCATCCCCACTGGTCCAGGTCTCCCGTGGTCACTGAGTTCCTCCCTGCTTAGGGCTGGGGAAGCAGCTGTTACGTACCAGGGCAGAGGGCTGTGAAACTGGTGGGGTCCAAATGTCCTTTTTGCCCCTATGAGTGTTCCTAAAAGAGAGGTTTGGTGTTTGTGCTGGAAACAGAGTCATGGGAATTAGGCCTGGAAGAGAAATTAAAATGTGCCATCCTCTTCCCTCCATGCCTAACCAGGATAAAGCCCTCCCAAAGTCATCCTCCACCTAAAATGCTTCTAAAAACCCTGTTCCCTGCTTTGCACCTCTTCACTGCCCTACCCAGGCAGAGGATGCTGTGCAATGTGGGGCAAGGAGCAGCACGCGCTGGGGACCAGGGTGTCTGTGCCGCCGGGATGCTGCCCAACCATGTCCAGACCCACCATGCAGATGCTCCTCTGACTGTGAAGGACTGGCGTGGACCGAGCAATTCAGTGCCAAACACGGCAAAGCAGGGCACTGGGCACAGCGCTTTTGCCACCAGCCAAAGCCGGATTACAGCCGGTGCTGTGACGAGACTGTTCATCCTCAAAGAACAGGAAAAATGGGAGATAATAGAGTTCAGGAACATGTCGAAAAACAATTTGCTGGTTACATGTGGCAATTACTGGACCAGAAAAACAAATAAATGAATCCTTGAAGTGCAGCCAGCAGTCAGTCTTCGCCTTCGATGTGCTGCATGTCCCAGTCCCGAGCGTCTGGAAGTGCCCTAATGCAAGAAGAGGAGCTGCACTGCTATCCCAGATTTTCCCTTTCTACCCCAAATCCTGGAAAACATCAAACAAGAAATAAGGTGCCAGCTCTGAACAGAGCAGGGAAATTACTTTGGAGCAGGGTCTGTCCTGCCATGTCCCTGCAGCTGCGGTCCATATCTGAAGCTTGTATTTGTCAGTGCGTTGCGAACGTTGATAACAAGGCTTGGCAGGAAAGTGGTGGAGTTTCAGTCATTTGGGTGCCTTTAAATGGAAATTGTTGTGTTTGTGGAAGATACACTCCCTAAAAAATGACGGTAACGTCCAGCCTGCAGGGCCTGGGGCAGCAATTAAGCTGCATTTTCCGAGTTCCTTGCATTCCCTCCTGCAGGAGTTCAGGGCATTGTCCTGTAACATACGCATCCCACCCATGCCCTGCCTGGCTTCCCAAACATCTGGTCCTCTATCCAGCACACAAGGGCAATCCCTCTGGGAAGCACACCCAGCTGCAAGCCTCGGGCATCCCAGCACCAGCACAAGCCAGATCCAGCCCAACAGTTTGAACTGAGCCGCGGTCAGAGGAGCGGTGAGCGAGGCCAGCGCTGCCCCGGGCTGGCCGTCAGCACGGGTGCAATATCGCTGCCTCTTGCAAGGGTGCCTGCAGGGCTGCGGGGTGCCTGGACACGTCCCGGCAGTTGGGGTGGGAGGTGAGACCCCCAGCACCACATGGCAGATGCTCTAATACCCTCCAGGATGGCACCTGGGGAAGGGATGAAGGGCCAGTGCCAGTAGGAAGGGCCGTGTCCTGCACCCCGCAGCCAGCACGCTCCCATAAAACACTTCGATACCTAGTGGCCTTAAAATCTCCACGTTCTCTACGGCTATGGAATTCTCCTCCTCAGGATTCGGTACAGCCACCGTGCAGGAGCAGCATAGATGTGGTGGTGATTGAATGTTCAAGCAGACAGCCAGCAGGCTTAGCGGTCCTTACAGGATGAACTCATCTGCTGCCGGTCAACAGCCACCTACCCCGAACAGAGCTTCTCCTTCCGCTCTCCCGGTGTTTCCAATTAAAACAAGTGCGCTGCATTAGTGTATTTTGCCACTCAAAACCATGGGTTGCCTGCTCTCCTTGCAGAAGCTTCTGCATTTCAGTGTCTCTTCTGGCTCTTTTCTCTGCAGCTGTACACCCGGGGCTGTCTCCCAGCGTGGTGGGTGCTGGCAGCGTGGATCTAGCACACAGAAGGTTCCCTGAGGATCTCTACCAGCATCAGCTGGGCTGAGATCTTAGCTTGGAAGTTGTGCTGGGTTTCGCTCTGCTAGATGGAAGGGTGGAAAACCTATGTCTCAGGACAACGCCATTGCATCGGCTCCCTGG